TTTCCCCCTTTCCCTTTTCCCCCTCCCCTTTATTCTATTCTCTCTCACCTTTCACCTTGTCTCTCCTCAAAAGTGCTTTGTTTCTTACTACTGCCTCCGCCAATCCACTCTCCTTTGTATCACCCCCCACCCCTTCTCTTATCCACTTCCCCTCCTACTTTCCTATGAGGTAAGATAGATTTCTATACTGAATTGAGTGTGTTTATTATTCCCTCCTTGAGCCAATTCTGATGAGAGTAAGGTTCACTCATTTCCCCTACCCACTTCCCTTATCTTCCTCTCCAGCATAAGTTTTTCTTTCCTCTTTAATATGAGATAACACATCCCATTCTACTTCTCCCCTTCACTTTCTCCCAGTGCATTCCTCCTTTTTACCCTTTAATTTTATTTTTTAGATGTCATCCCTTCATATTTAACTCACACTTTTGCCCTCTGTCTATATATACTCCTTTTCACTTCCCTAATAATGAGAAAGTTCTTATAAGTTATAAGTATCATCTTCCTATGAAATAATGTAAATAGCTTAAACTTATTAAGTCCCTAATGATTGCCCTTTCCTGTTTATCATTTTTATGCTTCTCTTGAGATTTGTATTTGAAAATTGAATTTTCTCTTCAGCTCTGGTCTTTTCATCAAGAATGCTTGAAAATCCTCTATTTCATTGAATATCCTTTTTGTCACCTGAAATATTATAGTCAGGGGCAGCTAGGTGGTACAGTGGATAGAGCATTGGCACTGAGTCAGGAGGACCTGAGTTCAAATCCAGCTTCCAACACATAACACTCACTAGCTGTGTGACTGTGGGCAAGTCACTTAACCCCAATTGCCTCACCCAAAAAGAAAAAAAAATAAAGATTATAGTCAGTTTTTCTCAGTAGGTAATTCTTGGTTGTAATCCTAGATCCCTTGCCCTCTACAATATCATATTCCAAGACCTCTGAAACTTTAATGTAAAATCTGCTATGTTCTCCAAACTTTGGCTCCATGATATTTGAATTGTTTCTTTCTGTCTGATTGTATTATTTTATCCTTGACCTGGGAGCTATAGAATTTGGCTATAATATTCCTTGGAGTTTTCATTTTGGGATCTCCATTTTAACCTCTGGTTTTGGAACATTAGGGCAGTTTTTCTTGATAATTTCTTGAAAGAGGAAGTATAGATTCTTTTTTTGATCACCACTTTCTGGGAGTCCAGTAATTCTTACATTATCTCTGCTGGATCTGTTTTATAGGTCAGTTTTTTTTCAATGGGATATTTCACATTGTCTTCTATTTTTTCATTATTTTGATTTTGTTTCATTGTTTTATAATTTCTGATGCAGTCATTAGTTTCCATTTGCTCCATTCTAATTTTTAAGAAATTATTTTCTTCTATGAGCTTTTGTACCTCCTTTTTGATTTGACTAATTCTACTTTTTAAAGAGTATTTTTATTTCTTCAGTGATTTTTTTTGTGTCTTTTTTCCATTTGTCCAGTTCTGCTTTTCAGAGCATTCTTCTTCTCATTGGCTTTTAGTGCCTCTTTTACCATTTGGACTAGTCTGTTTTTTAAGGTGTTATTATCTTCAGTATTTTTTGTGTCTCCTTTACCAAGCTATTGACTTTTTTCATGATTTTCTCCCATCACATTTATCTTCCCAATTTTTCCTCTTTCTGTCTTCCTTAATTTTCAAAATCCTTTTGAGCTAATCCATGGCCTGAGAACAATGCATCGGATTGGAGGCATTGGATGCTGAAACTTTGACTTTCCTATCTTCTGAGTGTTTGTTTTGATTTTGCTTGTCACCATAGTAACTTTGTACGGTCAGAATGTTTTTCTGTTGTTTGCTCATTTTTCCAGTCTATTTCTTGACTTTTAACTCTTTGTTAAAGTGGGGCTCTGCTTCCAGGTTAAAGGGTGCACTTTCCCAAGCTTCAGGGGTTTTGTGAAGCTATTTTTCAGAGATATTTCTAGAGACCTATAAGTTTTTAGTTATTCCAAGATGGTATGACCTAAAGAGACATGTCTTTACCACTCTCCTGGCCTTTGCCTATATCTTTGAGTGACCACAAGCACTCTTTTCTGCCCTGGAACTGTGAGCTGGGTCCCTGCTCCACTGTGAGCACAACCTCTGGTGTGCTACTGCTCGTGCCACCCAGTACTGTGACTTAGTTCTGATTATGGGCAAAGCAACATAGTCCTGCCCCCAGAGACATCAATGATACCATGTAATCTTCTGATCAGTTTTTTGATCCCTTTTCCATTTGTGGGCTGAGAGATCCAGAAGCAGCCATGGCTGCTGCTTATTCAGTGGCTCCCAAGGCCTGCTCCAGGTTTGCTGAAGCCCAGTCTATACCAGTGGGGCATGCACTATACTGTGTTCCACTCTCACCCAGGTGTGAAAGACCTATCCTGCCAACTTTCTTAGTTGTTTTGGCTGGAAAATTACTTTACCCTGTCCTTTTGTGTGTTCTACCATTCCAGGAATTGTTTTATGGAACTATTTAAAGGTGTTTAGAGGGATTTTGGAGAAAGCTTAGGTGATTCATAACTTTTCTCTGCCACCTTGACTCAGCCCTCTAGGATTCTGTTTCAAGAGGAGCTACAAGGCCAAGCAATCCAGTAGATGTAGCAGGACTATAATGCTAAATCAAGACAGTGTGGAGGACAATAGAAGGAAGAATGACAAGGCCCTGGAGAAGATAATGACCTTGATTGTATAGGAAAAAAATAAGAAAATATGTCCCCTCTTCTTCATAGCAGAGATGGGAGACTGTAGATATTATACACACACACACACACACACACATGTGTGTATGTATGTATGTATGTATATGTATGTGTATATATGTATATGTGCATGTATATATCTATATTATATATATATGTATATATGTGTGTGTATATATGTGTATGTATGTATATATATATATATATATATATATATACATATTCTGTTGACAAACATGTCTTCCCAATGCCCTGTGGGATCATTTTAGATTTCTCTGTCCCTAACATTCACAGACAATGTTCAAACCAATTTCAGGCTACATTGGATGAAAATGTCAGTATCAATAGCTGTGAACTATCACATTAAATATAATTTCCCTTCATCATTTGAATGGCATCATTCAAATATGGCATCTTTGGCCATCAGACATGAGCACATTACAATGGAATAAATAGTGGCTCCAGAATCAGAATCCCAAGATTTTTTTTGTTTATATCTGTGAATTTTTTTTTTTTACATTTTAAAACCTTGCTTATCTTCACATGGACATAATGTCTCTCCTCCTGCTCGCTATCAACCATAGCAATAAATGAAAGCAAAAACATCATAAATAGACATAATACAGCAAAACAAATCCCCACCTTGATCAGGTTAGAAAATGTTTCTCTCTTTTTCTACATTTGATGTTCATCACAAATTTCACCATCAATCTTCTATACTCACTGTTTCTCATTGCAATGTTTTACCAATGAGGAAACTGAGGCTGAGGCAGGTGAAGTGGCTTACATAAGGGCATACAGTCAGTATGTATCAGAATCAGGACTTGAGCTGTTTTTTCCTGGCTTGGAGACCAGTTGTCTTTCCAGTAAGTTGTGATCCCTCTAAGATGTCTTCCCAACTTGGTACAAATCACTTAATCCCCTTGTGCCTCCACTTCTTCATCTGTAAATAAAGGATTGGGCTAGAGGTCTTTGGTGGTCACCTTTAACTCTAGTTCTCTGATCTCATAAGTCTCCTGTGAAGCCACCTCTTTTTTTAAAATTTCTGAACATTATTTGTCTTTAATTGCCCTTGTGAGTTTATGGGACTAAACCCTCCAGCAATTGGTAAAGTGTTTTTTGGGTTCTTTAAATCCTTCTTCTTTACTAGATAATTATGTTCTTTTTCATGTTTCCCTGGTGTAAAGACCAGCATTTTCATTTGGTGAATTAGTTAAACAACAAAAACCAACCAAGAAGAAAATGTATGTTTGCTACTGTCCTCTCCTTCATTGCTTTTTCCTGCACCTTGGAGAAATTTTAATGGGTTTTAGAAGGGAGAAAGTTGGAAAGATACCAGTGAAGTTTAGGAACACAATCAAGTGAACAAGTAGTGATTGTGTCTTCAAACTGAGTTTATGGTTGGATCTTAATGTGATTTTCTTTCATACTCATTAAAGTGTCCTTTATATTTAGTGTACTTTCAAACTTATGCAGAAGTGACAGAAATATTGGCAACAGTGGTACATTTCCCCTTATTAAGCATCATGTATGCATTCATTCAACAACCTTCCATCATTACATAGATCTACATTGCCTCCAAATTTGCCATTTCTTCTTTTAAATCCTACTCAAATTTTCCTTTCCCTCAGATAGTATTTATAAAGCACTTGGTTCAGAACCTGTCATAGAGTAAGTGCATAATCTATGCTCCTTCCCTTGCCTTTCTCTTCCCTTCCTTTCCCTTTCCCATTCTTATAGTCACCACAATAGTCTCATCCCATATCGTCTCATGTCTGCACCAGACTTCTGGAAAGTCATCCTGTGTTTAGCCTCTCCCCTGAATGCAGCCCCTGTTGTTCTAAAGCATTTACTGAGAATTCCCTTTTACCTTTCATATCCAATTAGAAGTCCCGTGTCTAACTCCTGTGTCCTTCCCCACTGTTCCCCAACATGCATCCTCTCTTTCAGTCAAACAAGTCATCTCACAGCCCCAGTGAATACACCATGTTGGTAAATAACTGGTATAGTATGGTATAATGAGATAGAATACAGGAAGACCTGGCTGTGGATCTCACCTCAGACCCTCATTAATGGGTGACCAGGAACAAATCATATACCTTCTCTCTCCTGAAATGTATTTTCCTTTAAAATAGGGACAATAGCTCTGGTGCCGCTGCTTGTGCCGCTGCCGCCGCCTCTCGGGCTAGCTCCTGGCACTGCCAGGTGCGTTAGGCCCCGGCAGCCTCCCCGCAGCCCCAGCGCCAGCCCTCGGCTAGGCTCTGCCCTGCTCTGCCCGTCCCGGCCCCCCGCAATGGCGACGCGCTCGTGCCGGGAGAAGGCTCAGAAGCTGAATGAGCAGCACCAGCTGATCCTGTCCAAGCTGCTTCGGGAGGAGGACAACAAGTATTGCGCCGACTGCGAGGCCAAAGTGTTGCTTTTCTAAGTGAAACTATTTCTTATGAAAGGTCTGGAGAGGTTATGACAATCGAAAAGAAGATTCAAAGGGGTTCAATATAAATTCATGCAGATTTCTAGTCTAAAACAGTCCACGATGGGCTTCCTGGAATATTGGCGTATTTATTTGCATTCGATGTGCTGGAATTCACAGAAATCTTGGTGTTCATATACCCAGGGTCAAGTCAGTCAACCTTGATCAGTGGACACCAGAACAAATACAGTGCATGCAAGATATGGGAAATACAAAGGCAAGAATGCTCTACGAAGCTAACCTTCCAGAGAACTTTTCGAAGGCCCCAAACGGACCCAGCAATGGAATTTTTCATCAGAGATAAATATGGAAAAAAGAAATACTATGACAAAAATGCACTGACTGTTACCAATAAAGAAAATGACCAAAAAAAAGGAAGAGAAAAAGAAGGAGAAGGAGCCAGAAAAGCCTTCAAAACCCATTTCAGCTGAAAAGCCTCAGAAGAAAGAAGACCCGAATCAGGAATTTAAAAGAAGCACCAGCCCTAAAAAGGCAGCAGAACCCACTATTGATCTTTTAGGACTTGATGGCCCTCCTGAAGTGCCTGTGACAAATGGTAGTACTACTACCATCACCACTACCCTGAATGATGACCTGGATATCTTTGGCCCAATGATCTCTAATCCTTTACCAGCAACAGTCATACCCCCAGCCCAGAGCACCCCCCCCCCCCCCGTACCAGTAGCTGCCACTTTAACTACCGGATCTGTGGATCTGGATCTGTTCACTGAGCCAACTACAAAAACAGAAGAATCAGCAAAGAAGCAATTGTCCAAAGACTCCATCCTATCCCTATATGGGACGGGGACCATTCAGCAACCAAGTGCTCCAGGTATGTTTATGGGCACTTCAGCTATGCCGTTTACCTCACAAGCACCAACCCAGTTTCAAGGCTTTCCATCCATGGGAGTACCTGTGCCTGCAGCCACGGGAATCATGGGAAATATGATGGGACAATCGGTACCCGTTATGGGACAAAATGCAAGCATGATGGTTGGCATGGCAGTGCCCAATGGGTTTGTGGGAAATGCACAAACTGGTGTGATGCCACTTCCTCAAAATGTTGTCGGGTCTCAAGGAGAAATGGTAGGACAGATGGGAGCAGCACAGAATAAGTTTGCTATCCAGCAAACTCAGCAGCCCCAGTGGAATCTCTCTCAGATGAATCAGCAAACGGCTGGAACGAACATCACCAGTGCTAGCAGTGCTGTGGGTTTTGGCCAACCCCCCAATACAGCAGCAGGATGGTCTAGAAGCTCATCGGGTCAGACTCTCAGCACACAGCTGTGGAAATGAAAACTGCAGTAGGAGTTTCATCCAGAATTATCACCACCTGACATTCCTTGATAAATGCATCTAGTTCCCCTGTTTATTCATGTACAGATTCTTTCCCCCCCCCCCCAGGTTGTTCATATTAAGAATTAACTGACTGACCATATTGGTCTCTATTGATTAAATTTGATGTAGTAAAAAGCAGGTTGAGAATCCATATTGAGGTCACTGGCAGCTTTTTTCATACTACACACGATTTCATAAACCACATTCTTGGAGAAGCTGCTTAGTCAATTCCAATAGTCAGTTTTATTCTCAATAAGATTATAGGTCTACTGTTTGCATATAAGGGAAGTAGTTACCATGTTAGTAATACCTCTAACAGTGTAAACCCTGCCCCCAAATTAGTCAGTAATCCTGTAGAAAGGTACTATATGAACAGATGTTTAACCATATAAATAGAACGTAAATGTATCACTGAGCACTGTTTTCTAGTGTATCAAAATTCTTTTATTTCATCATTCATTTCACTGTGATGTTGTTATGGTGTGCTTAACAGGGAACATGGTTAGTGAAAGGAAGATAAACCTGGATGTCACCACAAAATTTAATCTGCTCAAAGAATAAAGAAATCCCGAGTATTTCCTCTGAGTCTCCTATAATTGGGATCACTTCTTGTGTACATAGTGCTAAGCTGCAGAGCACTCCTTGCACTAGATGCGTACAGGGTATCTACCAAATAGTACTTTTAATCCTTGAAGGTATATCCAGGTTTATGACAGTAATTGTATTTACATTTTATGGTGCCTAGTATTGACAAAATGTTATTTCCCTATATTAAACAGATGAATCCATCAAAAAAAATAAAATAAAATAAATTTAAAAATAGGGACAATAATACCTGTAATACTTACCTCATGCTGTTGTTGTGAGGATGAAATGAAATTAGTATAAAGCCCTTTGAAAACGTTAAAACATTATGTGAATGTGCACTACACTAATGTAACTGCCCCATTGCTCTTGCCTAGGCCCAGACCCAAGGCATGCTACTTCCTCTTTGCCTATATAAAGCCCAACCATCCTCAAAAACTTTACATTAATCTTCACTTTCCTAGGAAGCTGCCTTTTATTCCATCTCAACAACATGTACTGAACTTCTGCACTTATGGTGAACAACATACAGTTCAGTGAACAGAGGCATATAGATGGCACAGTGGATAGAGGACTTGGCCCAGAGTCAGGAGACCTGAGTTCAAAACCTGTTTTAGACACTTATTAACTGTGCAACCCTGGGCAAGTCACTTACTTAGATCTTTCATCTGCAAAAATAGGCATAACAAGTAGTACTACCTCCCAGGTTGTTATGAAGATTAAATGAACTAATATTTGTGAAGTATTTTGTGAACCTTAACTACTGTGTAAATGTTAGGTGGTAATGTGGTGGTAGGTAGTAATGGTAGTAGTAATAGTAGTGGTAGCAGAAGCAGAAGAAGAAACAGTAACAGTAGTAGTAGCAACAGCAGCAGCACCAGCAGTAACAGTAGTAGCAACAGCATTAGTCGTAGTAGTCGTAGTAGTCGTAGTAGTCGTAGTAGTCGTAGTAGTAGTAGTAGCAGTTTATGGAGAGCTCACACAGGGCAAGCTGTAATCTGGTGGTCAGAAGAAGCAATGCAAGGACACTCTCAAGGTTTCTCTTAAGAATTTTGGATTTGATCGTGTGATATGGGAGACACTGGCACAGGACCACCCAGCATGGCGTGCCCTCATCAGAGAGGGTGCTGTGCTCTGTGAGCAAAGCAGATTTGAAGTATCTCAAAAGAAACACAAGATACACAGATTTAGAGAATCTACCCCAAATGTTCACATGCACTACTTGCACTTGACCTGTGGTAGGGAATTCCGGGCTAGTATTGGTCTGATCAGCCACAGTTGGATGCATTATAACTTGATTCTAACTTGGTGATGTTATTTTGGTCCTCTTTGAGAATGAAGGACAGCCACCAACCAAGTAGCAGTAGTAGTAGTAATAGTAGTAGTAGTAGTAGTAGTAGTATAGTAGTAGTAGTAGTAGTAGTAGTAGTAGTAGTAGCAGTAGCAGTAGCAGTAGTAATAAGTAATTTGTTGTTGTCTTTTGGGGCTTAATCCATTTATTATTTAATATACATAAGTTCAGTCTTACTAACTAGAAGGTTACCTTCTTAGAGTCAGAGAGTTTTATGATGTTTGTATGAGTGTTAGAGCACTCAGTACAGTGACAAATTGTATCATCTCCAATAAATATCTCTCAGTTCATTCATTTCTGACTATCTCTGAAAGGGTTTAGCTGGCCACAAAACACTGGGATTCCTAGTTCTTCCCATTTTGTGAAGAGAAGAAATTAATGGGGAGTTTAGCCCTCAGAATGCATGCAGGAGGTTTTCACTACTAAGGTAAGAATTTGGGTGATGCACAAAGAAAACCAAACATGGAGGAGGGAGAGATGGTGGTTGTTTGACGTCAGCAAGCAAGACTTGGCCACATCTGCAATTTCCTTCTTCAAGATCATGGGAGCCATGGGGCTCCTAAATGGACAAGTTGAGAGATGTGTATGGCTGTTTTAATGACACTAGTCACAGGAACTGCTGAGATGAACCAGCTGAGTGAGGAACGGACACTTCTTACCCTGCTTCTGCCTTACATTTGTTTAGTTGTGTGTACATACTTATCCTGTTATAGGCCACATTTGCCATATTTAATTTTATTTACCATAAATATTTTTGACTGTTGTTATGATACCTGGTGTCACTGTTTTGGGACTGAAGGTGAAATGGTAACCATACAGGAGAGGATAATCTTTCTTAATATAAGGCCAGGAGTTCATGCCTCAGTCCATTATTAGAGAGTTACACTTTCTAACTGGGAGCATAAGCATAAGCCATTTCATAAACTGACTTCCAAGTATAGAATTACTATGAACACAAGCCACGTTTTATATATCTGCCCCATAGACATGAGCCTAAGAGTATCTAAAAGTTACACATTTATTCATGCATCCATTCCCTCATTCATTTCTGTATTCATTCAACAAATACTTTGCAGGCTAAGCTTATTTCAAGCTTATTTATTTGCAAATGTTTATTTCTTAGTGATTGTGTATGTTCATTTTTAAATTAACTGAAAGCAAATCATCCAATCTTTCTGTCTGTTCATACATTTTTGCACTTATTCAAAATTTTGCCTATCTCCATTTTGTACCAAGCAGCTCTGTCAAGCCTTAGGAAACAGCTCCCCCAAAGCATCACAAGACTCAGACACCATTTGCAGACAAAAGTAGCACTTTTTAATGGCACCTTTGACATCTTTTCAAAATGCCAATGATTTTGAAACATATACTTTTTGGCTTTGGAATTCGCAGCTATACAATCTCTCATACAAATAAGGAAAAACACTTGCCTAGGTAAAACACATGAGAAAAGAACTTTGGCAAGGTGTGAACACACTGTCTACAGAACATTTGACAGTTTTGAAATGCTGAAAACAGCTGTGCATAACTGTTAACTTGGCATTCACACCTATGATTCAGTAGGTAAGTACAGCAAGTATCCACCTGTGACCACAGGAGCATGAAAGCAAATTGAAACAAGAATACCACCTCCCTACTCCCCTCAATTCAATTTCCAACTCAAGCAAAAAAAAAAAAGATCAAGAAGGGCATAATATAATCAGTTAGGTATAGAAATCTAACTTGTCCTACAGGCAGTAGGAGGGAAAAGGGTAAAGAAAAGGGAATGGGGAAAGAAAAGGGGAGGGGGGAAGAAGGGAGGGAAGCAGCAGTAAGACTAAAGGGGAAGAAAAGGGAAAGGGATAAAAAAAGGGGGAAGGGACTGAAGGAGGCAGTGGTCAAAAGCAAAACACTAGTGAAGGGGAGAAAGGAAAAAGGAGAAAGAAAAGCATAAATGGGGGGGGAAAGAATGGAGAAAAAGACACAGATAAGGGACAGCTAGGTGGCGCAGTGGATAGAGCACCAGCCCTGAAGTCAGGAGTACCTGAGTTCAAATCCAGCCTCAGACCAAATACTTGACATCTACTAGTTGTGTGACGCTGGGCAAGTTACTTAACCCCAATTGCCTAAAAAAAAAAAAAGACACAGATAGTAATCATAACTGTGAATGTGAATGGGATGAACTCTCCCATAAAATGGAAATGGATTGCAGAATGGATTAAAAACCATAATCCTACAACATGTTGTTTACAGGAAACACATTTGAAAAAGAGTGACACATACAGGGTAAAGGTAAAAGGCTGGAGAATATATTATGCATCAGCTGAAGTGAAAAAAGCAGGGGTAGCAATCCTGATCTCAGACAAAGCAAAAGCAAAAATAGATCTAATCAAAAGAGATAAGGAAGGAAACTACATCCTGCTAAAATGAAGTAATATCATTACTAAACATATATGCACCAAATGGTAGAGCATCCAAATTCTTGGAAGAGAAGTTCAGGGAGTTACAGGAAGAAATAGACGACAAAACTACACTAGTGGGGGACCTGAACCTCCCCCTCTCGGCACTAGGTAAGTCTAACCACAAAATAAACAAGAAAGAAGTTAAGGAGGTGAATAGAACATTAGAAAAGTTAGGTATGATAGACCTCTGGAGAAAACTGAATGGGGATAGAAAGGAATATACATTTTTCTCATCAGTACATGGCACATACACAAAAATTGACCATGTACTAGGGCATAAAAACCTCACAATCCAATGCAGAAAGGCAGAAATATTAAATGCATCCTTTTCAGATCATGACGCAATAAAAATTATATGTAATAAAGGGCCATGGAAAGATAGACTAAAAATAATTGGAAACTAAATAATCTAATCCTAAAAAATGATTGGGTCAAACAACAAATCATAGAAACAATCAATAATTTCATTCAAGAGAATGACAATAATGAGACAACATACCAAAACCTATGGGATGCAGCGAAAGCAGTTCTTAGGGGAAGTTTTATATCTCTAAATGCTTACATAAATAAAATAGAAAAAGAGGAGATTAATGAAT